AATCACCTCTGAATTTTAGCTGGGAGCATGGCTGCCCAAATAAATAGAATATTTCTTAGCAGTTGGTGTGGTCTTTTGTGGTCTTTGACTAAATTCTGGCCACAGAAGTTTAAGCAGAAATGGTGCACAGTTCTGGAAAGTGTCCTCAAAGGGCGGGACATTCTCATTTCCCTCTTTGCTCCTTCCTATGGGGTAAAACAGACGTGATGGCTGGTGGCACAGACCCCACATCATACCAAGGACTCAGCAAGCAGGCAGTGAGCAGACACAGCCCCTGTGCTCACCCACCCCAGGGCAGTTGGGTCCAGTCCTGGGCTCCACATTTTAAGAAAAGCATCAACAAACCGTAGTTTATCCAAATATATAACGCAATGCCAGCCCCGTGTGATAGAAGGCAGTTCAAGACAGGTTGGGTCTGTGAGGACATAATCTTAACTATGTACACAGAAGAGGTTTAATATATAATAAAATGCACTAACCACAAAAACACCTAAATATTATTACTTTTAAACATTCATCCTTACCTTTTTAGGCATGGTTAGGCTCCATAAAAGTTGATGAGGAAATTAGGTCATTTGTAAGTTGTTTGAAAAAAATTTTATTTGTAGAGCAAAATCAATCACGAGGCTTTAAGAGCAACTGTGATAGTGTGTGGCCTGGGGGTTCTTTTAGAACAATGCTCTATCAAGTAACCAGAGGTCTGTAGAACTAAGCATGTTTTATATTAACATCACTTCTATTGGGGGGGTTGGTGACACGGGCTACGGAAGAATTCATAAACAGAGGCAAGTGCAGAGAGCAAAGTTTTTATTTTACTTTCCCAAGAAAGGGAAAGGCTAGGTTCAGAGATACACACCCACACGGAGGGTGGGGGCTGTGAGCTTTTATTGGATAATATATAATTGATTAAAGAAGGGTGGGGCTACTGTGTGGCCCCTGGGCTGTTGGGGTGTTGTCACATGGGGCTGCAGTTTGTCCCCATGTTATCTTCCGCCTGTGGCTGCAGGGAGCGGTTAGTTCTTGCTTTCCAGTCATTCCAGTCCTGGGGACAGCAGCTCAGAAAGGTGAAACGGCGGTCATGTTCAACAAGGCCACAGGCCTGCTCGGCAACTGGTGCCAGCATGGCACATGGGGCTGGCTTTGTCCTCCCGACTTCCACCCACATGCTAGTTTAGTTTTTTAGACACTTCCAAGTTTATTCATTAGAATTCAGTTCTCAGATTTATCAAGAGCATTTTCATTTTGAAAAGGATTTCCAGACTCCTGTCCCACCACAATGGGTAGGGATAGGTTACTTTGTAATTAGCAGTGAACAGCCCTGGCAGAGAACCTGGTGAGAGCATTTACAAGAAACCAACCTGAGCCCGAAGCCACGCTGCCGGGGCTTCGCCGAGGTCAGAGCCAGGCCTGCATCCCGACTCCGCCACCTCCGGTGACCCTGCACAGGACAATTATTTAATCTCTGGTGCTGGCCCCTACCTGTAAAACAAGGATAACTACATGTTCACAAGGCTGTGGCAGAATGAGGCCCTGTTTAAAAACGTGAAGCACAGCGTCTGCCACAGCAAATGCTGGGTAATAGGGGCAATGGCCAGCTGATCCCAAGCCCAACTAGGGCAAGGGTGACAAACAAACCGACAGCTTCTCTTACATCAGGCCCCACATCAAAGGAGACTGCTGCCTGCCGGGTCCTTTTGATCGCATGCGCATCCCACACTGTGGGCCCAGCAACCTGCGATTGGTCATGGGGGTGCAGCCCAGGTACAGCCGAGCTGGAGGACCCCTGCACTAAACTGTGCTGAGTGAAACCAGAAAAGCCGGCATTCGTGCTGCCTGTCACCTACCAGCCCCAGAAAGCAGACACATGGATTGAATCTTTATGGGCGCTTTATTCAGGTGGCCGGCAGGTTAGTCCCCTAACAGACCTTTGTAAATTCCATTTTAAACTGACCTTTTTTGTAAGAGGAAAAGTGTAGCTAAGAGGTTTGGAATTCAGAGAAAAAGTTAATCAGATAAGAGCAGCAGCCTTCTTTCATCCGTGTCTCACTCTGGGGCACAAGGGCTCAGACATCATGTTGACTGCTTGCAGTCCCCCTGAGGCAGAGGTGGCTGTGCTTGTGGTCTCCTGGAGTCAGGGTGGGTCATAACTTCAGCTCCTGAAACAACAGCTTTCTACATACGCTGAGGTGGCTAAGCTTATTAGCTACTGCCCGAAACTAAAATTTTTCCAACATTTGAGTCCCCCATCAAGAGTACCTGTGAGGCTACATTCCACATGAAGAACAGACTACAATTGCTTTAGCTGCTTGGCTGATATCGAGTGATACAAATGCAACACAGGATACTTAATTAGAGCCTGGATTTGGGGGAGGGGGTACTAGAAAAGTCCCTTGTGGGGGGTGCAACTGGGGAGATTTTAATATGGACTAAACCATTGGATATCTGTGAGCTAATGGTAACATGGTTACACACGTGATTATAAAAAAGTGTGATCTAGTGTTTAGGGGTGAAATATGGTGATGTTTACAACTTACTTTCAAATGGTGATAAGAAAAAGTGTATTAGTCTGCTTGGGCTGCCATTAAAAACAAGTCCAATAAAGAGGAGAAATTTATTCCTCACAGTTCTAGAGGATTAAGTCCAAGATAGATGTGCCAGTGAATTCTGTGCCTGGCAGGAGCTGTCCCTTGGTGAGGTTTGCCAGCAGCCACATTCTCAACTCAGGTGGTGGGGAGGGAGACCAAGCCAGCCTCTGGCACTAATCCCATGATGCGAGCCGCACCCTCGGACCTCATCTAATTCTAATAGCCTCCCAAAGGCCCCCGCAGATGCCAGCATGTGGGGGTTAGGGGTTCAGCACTAGAATTTCAGTAGGACACAGCTTAGTCCACAGCAAAGTGTTCGTAGAGAGCAAAAGATAAAGCACAAACCACAGCGAGCTGATAACTACCTGCAAAGGTAGGGGAGGAGTCTACGAGGTTTTTCACAGGGTGGGGCAAAATTAGGTTTACAAGTTGTGAGTACACAAAAGTTAATAAAGCTATTGTAATAACTATAACCTGAACATCTTTTTCCATATGAACCGTAAACCTACTTTTGCCCCACCCTGTATTATTGTTACTCTTTCAACTTTTCATTATATATGAAAATTTCCCAAATAAAAAGTTGGAGGATTTTTGAAGCTGATGCAGAGATAGCACAGGAAAAACTCTGAGATTGTGCTGCTGTTGCTAGCCATTGGTTAGTGTCCTGGATGCCAGGCAATGGAAGGAGCTGCCAGAGGTAATCAAGGCAGGGCCCTCACCACTGCAATCTAAGAAACAATACAGGAGGCTAAAGGCAAAGGAGGACGTGTCTCACCCGCTGACCCAGTAGTCCTGCGCCTGGTTCGATAAGACTGCTAGGCATTCTGATTAACACAAGTAAACTATGATAGCCAGTTTATTGTGTTGTTGGGGGCGGGGCGGGGGGACAGACCTTGAAAATCTGTGTGTATCATCTCCACTAGCTGGAAAAACGAAAACCTTGAGACTGTGTATTCGTCCCAAGGCCTGGAAGGGAGAAGGGGAGGGGGTCTAATAGTGCCCAAAGAAAAGCCCATAAAACTGCCTGCCTTATCATGTATGAAAAAATGAACAAATAGAATCTAGAGCAAGATAAGGGTTCAGACTAACAGACCTTCGCACATACCTATGTTTGGGTAGTCGCATCTCCCCGGGTAAAGCTGGCACCACCTGTACCAGTCAGTCAATGTGTAACTCCCTCACCCTCACCCCCATCCACCAACTACGTGACTCCTCAGAACAAAGGATGTGCTCTCTTAGCCCTTTTGCCACACAGGGGCTCCTGGCTACCCGGCCTTTGGCAGGGGTCGAAGGTTGGGGAGGGGTGGCTCTGGGCCCCCTTGCTTTTGTTCTCCCACTAGAACTCAGCACTAACAAACTTTACGTGCATGTTAATGGGCTTGATGATCTGTGTTACTGCGTCGGCAAGAACCAGGTCTCTCTTGTTAACAAAGCTGCTGGAGAAATAAAGCCTGGGAAAAGCTGAGGGTTCCATGACTACTATCTCTGAGAATGTGAAGTGCTGCCCATGGTAGCGTTTTTCCTGGCAACCCAAGGACAGGACTGGACCCAGTGGTAGACTCAGGAGCCTGAGGCACATCTAGTCTTAACATAAAGAACTTCTGAGAGCCACAGCTGTCCGACGCTGGAAACGTTACTCTCAGTCAGAGCTCAGCTGCTGAGTGTCCGTGTTCAGTGGAGCCTGGAGAACACCAGGATGCTGTGCAGGGGGCTGCGTGGTGAGGCGGCCAAACAGACAACTCTCAGAATTGCATGTTATACAGACAAATGGACACCTGCAAGCACACAACCCCAGAAAACTAGTCTCTCCAGTGATCTTGGAGAAAAGAGTTCAGAGTCAGGCTGTTCATTTGTGTTGACCTAGTGTTTCCCAGAGGCAAAACCACACATAAATTCAAATTTCACATTATGTTCCCAGTGTCTCCATCAGCTGCCTTGGAAGAAATCCGAATTCTGGCACAATGGCCTGTGTGACACTACTTCCCACAGGCCAAGTGGGTTTTGAGGTCACCACCCACTCTCTCCAACAAGGCCCCAAACTGACCCTCCACAGCTCTAGACCTAGGCTTGCTCAGGTCTCCTCCTCTCCTCAGTCCCTCAGGTTTTATCAGCAAAATTCTATCACCGTTTCCTTCAAGATGACCCTTCTTTAAAAGCCAAGGACATGGGCTAGTAGATGAACACAAGACAGTAGAAATAGATGGCTTGTTTTCAGCTGCCATTTGGTCACCTGGAAAGGGCTCATTGTCTAGACAAGGTGGTTAGCTCTGTCAGCCACCACCAGGGAGGACTAATACCTACTTCCACATGCCAACATTATGAATAGCAACACTCTTTTCAAATTTTATAATCAGGAAGAAACAATAAACCCATTATGCAAGATTTCCCCACCACCATCCACCCCAAAAGAAACACTCTTTTATACCAATCTTTATATATTTATTCACACATATGGTAAAAATATCAGTTAGGAGTGAAATCATTACGATGACATAAGTAACTGTACAGATCGACTCCAAGTGCAGCCAAATTCCCCCAAATCGAAACATGAGCAACACAGAGCTCCTTAACACCTGCGTGCTCATGCACACTCTTGCCCACAGCCACCCACACCCTGACAATCACAGGTGCTAAGTGCAGACATAACCCAGGGCCACTTCCCTGGCTTACCAGGTTCTAGGGGTGAGAACAGAGAACTGATCAGTGAAAGAAGCTAGGGATCCTGGCTGATGCGGCTCAGTTGGCTGGAGCGTCATCTCATAACCTAAAGAAAGGTTGCAGATTCAATCACCAGTCCAGGTACACACGACCCCCGGTCCAGGTGCATACGGGAGGCAACCAATTGATGTTTCTTTCCCTCTAAAAGTAATGAAAAAATGTCCTCGAGTGAGGATAAAAAAAGTGGGGGGAGCTGAGGCTGCTTGCTGCATCTCTGCTCTGCCAATGACTCAGAGGAGGCAAGACAGGAAACACTGGGTAGTTATTTCCTTGGCACAAATCTTCACAGGCAACAAAAAGGTTGAGGGGCTTAAGTTAGTCTCAGGTTTAGATCCAAGTAGGGAAAAAAATGGGGAAATTTCATCATTTAAATTCTAAAAAAAAAGGGGAAAGAGGATTTAAAACTTGATCCCTATTCTCCCATCAGATGGCACCACGACCGTCGGCAGAGTCGGCAAGGCCAGACTGGTACCCTCTGGCTGTGACTTCATCCAAAGAGCACAGTTTGCTTCTATTTTATCTCTGAAGGAGCAAAAAATTTCAGAGGAACAAGAGGGTCATATAAACCCATTATATTAGTGTTTGGGGCAAAATTTCACCCTTTGGGTCACAGAGCTTATTTACAGGTCTGAGAGCTCCGGGGAGGGGCCCAATCTCACTCCTTTGCTTAGCCTTCTGACATGGACAAGTTCTCAGCATCCAGTGAAATGTGAAGCATGAAAAATAATGCCTGAATCAGAACGGTGTTTTCAGGACAGTGGGACTAAAGAAATTCTGTACAATTCTCCAATTCCTATTTTTTGACACAAAGATTAAAAAGTATTAATGTGTGATGTTTTGAACATTTCTACTTACTCTATCAAAACAGTAACACAGAAAGCTACTGTATGAAAGGAATCGTTTCCCAGTGTTCTCGGTAAATGAGCCAAGGAATGAGGTGCCAAGCCACATGAACACAGTGCGTGAATAGAGAAGAGCTAGCTAGTCGAAAGGAAATGGCTTTGGGTAGTCAATGGGTGGTATCTGGGAGGCAAAGAAAGAAATTTCCTGGTACAAACTTTATGTCCCTGAAGATAGCAAGGCGAGGACAAGGCACTTAACACTGCCAAGCAATAGTGCACGTCCATTCAACACTAGGGCAGTTATCAAGAGAACTCCCGATGACCCCTCACTGAACCAAGTGAAACATCAACCAGCCAACTTCACTTTCCAGTTGGACCTTTAAAATAAAGGAAGTCCAAATGCAGAACTGATGGTGGAAACTGGAATGTTGGCAGAGGAAACTACTCAGAGGGAGCAAAAACAAGCGATCTCCTTCTGGCCTGAGGTGTGTTCTAGATTAGCTCACTGACATACTGAACAGCAACATGCTTGGCCTGAGAATATGACAATGCCCCCATTGATGCCTCCTCCTCTGTTTTGACAAAGAGCAAAGAGCGCTCTGAATGAAATCGGACATCAGTTACTGAATTATTCTGCACGGGTGGTTACAGCAGACGTCTTTTAGTACATGTCCCCCTCCTGCAGCAGAATGCTAGGGACTGAGACAGGGCCAGAAGCAGCCTGTCCCCCCTTATTCCAAACCCTGTTCAAGCGTACTCGATCCGGGCAGGGCCACAACTACCCTCATTCTTCCGTTCAGAAGACGGGGTGGTGGCCTTGGCTTCACTACCCATTTCCACAGGCTTAGATGAGATATAGTCCTTTACTTTGATCTCCATGTTCTTGGCTTTCAGGGTGGCCATGTGCAGCTTCTCCAGGAAATCCGGCATGCCTGTTGGAAGAGGGAAATTTGAGTAGGCTGACAGACAGACCAGATGTGGGCTCAAAATTCAAACGCCCTATTTTTTTGTGATGGAGCCCTCCCTCCTTACAGAAATCACTGCCTGATCAACAACCTGTGAGTGACAGTTGCCTCTCAAAATGTGTAAGGCATGAAGACAACTCATGACCTCTGAAATACTTTGAAAAGGGGTGCTGAAAGCCACTTACATCCCAAGTGGCTCTCTTTCAGGTGATGAAAACATCACTTATCAGTAGCACAGCTTATATCTCTACCTATTTTATTTCATTAAATGCCACACAGAAACACCTAGTCTCCTCTTCATTCTCCCCGAGGTACAAAAAGCTACCAGAAGAAAGAAAATCACATCAGGGTGCTTTTTAAGGCAAGACATTGAAAGGGAAAGGTGTAGGCACAGCCGTGGTGTATAACCTTTGTTAGGACCCAGGTGACTGTCCTACAACCACATTTTCTCTGCCAGATTTTATGGCCCAACACTAAGAAGAAATACTTGAAGTGCATTAATGTCCACTGTCCATATTTACGGCATTAAACAAATGCTCTTCTTAAAACTGCCTTCTGGGCACAGTTCTTTTCTGGGATGTCATACTTCTCATTCCTCCAAACCCGGGTGGAGGCTTCTACAGCTTCAGGGTATTCAAGCACAAGCTGGGAAGGACATTTAATCTCCCCAACAGGGCTCCAGTGACACAAGTATCTTCTTGCTGCCAGTAAGAAACTAGAGAAAAACAAAGTGTTCAACCCAGGTAGGTTCCAGGCCATGCACACAAGTGCCCACTCACCACTGGAAACCATCCAACTAACACAGTAGCGAGGAAACACAGTCTGGGGATTGTCACTGTATGTCAACAAGTAGTCAAAGCCATTCTGGAAAAGAAAACAACAAAGAAGAAGGTACCTGAATTACCCACCACAACTTCTGTTATCTGGGCCCACAGGATAACCATGACTGGAGTCTGGGGCAGAGTGACATTTGATTTACCCTAAGCAGAAGAATTAACACTGAAAGAGGCTGGCCCTCGGCTGGAGTCTGGGATCTCGGCTCCCAGAGTGTCCCCAGTCAACAGTTAACTGCTAAGGGCAGTTCCTTGTGCCTTGTCTATTAGTGCAAAACATACAATTTAGGCTCAGCATTTGCTTTCTTCCCAGGGCTCTGCAATTTTGGCATATACTGAGCAGAGGGTGCCTATGTGACTGCCCCCAATAAAATCTCAGGTGCCAAGTGTCTAATGGGTTTCCCCGGGCAGGAACATCATACCACGTTGCTGCATTCTTGTTGCTGGGAGAATGGACTCTCTGTGACCCTCATGACATGAAGAGGGTATGGGAAGCCTGCGCAGAGATCCCTCCAGACTCTGTCTTTCCCCTTATGATCCAGCTGTGCATCCTTGTATATCACTGTAATGAATCTTAGCCACAAGGACAACTGTATGTTGAGTCTTGTGAGTCTTTCTAGTGAAACTTCTAGTTGTAGGGGTGGTCTTGAAGACCCCCAAAACATAACGCCAATGTTAAAGATCTTAACCTTTACCAAAATGGTATTTACTACTGCTAACAGCTAACAATTACATGGCACTTAACTATATGCCAGGAAGGGCTTCAAGACTTTACAACAGTTCTAGAGTATGGGAGCTGTTATCTTCTTTTACAGATGAGGAAACTCAGCTCAGAGAGGATAAGTGACTTTGCTCAAGGTCACCCCCCATATACTCAATGAGAGCCAACATAAACTCTCGTGTACCCACACTTTCTAAGCCAGCCCTCTCATTGCCTGATAGAGTGAAGGGTGAGGATCAAGGAGACAGAGAGGTATCCTAATCTTAGCAGAGGTCTGAACCAATTATGCTCCACCCAAAGGGGTAAGAGAGAACCACTTGTGTCTATACTTTGTAAGGCTGATAGCCACAACTCCAGGTGGCATTACCTGAATATCTGCTATGTGTCTGGCAATGTGCTAGGTGCTACAGAAAAAAGAAAAATATACTAGTCCTTGCCTTTGGGAACTTTCAAAGAGTAGGCTAATGGGGTGCCTAAATGGGTGCCATGCCAGAGCTATAGGTGGACTACTATGGAAGTAAAGAGGAAGGAGACACAGACAACAGGAGTGGGTAACACCCAGACAACAGGAGTGGGAACAGTACCCACAACAAAGGCCAGTTATAAGACTTAGGAAATACACATTTTTTAGTCATAACATTTTTGATTTTGTTGACATTGCTATTCCGATGCTGATGTGTGTGTGTATGTTTCAAGTTAAAGTAAATGAGTGTTACATAGGGGTGATGAGTTGAGAATTGAGTCTGTCAGCCCAGGGAAAAAGGGTAGATTTAAGATACAAATAAAAATTATACAGTCTTGAGTTTGAATTAGTAAATCCTAAGTATTAGTATGCACTTAGGATTTATCTTTAAAATAAACAAACAAAACTTATTACTTAGTTCTATGCTGTGAAACCTAAGAACAAAAAGCAGGCCACTACTATGAGTACTCCTAGAAGACAAATTGTGGTACCTGAGTGACGTTTTCTAAAGAGGAACCAGGGGCTCCCTGAAGATACATGAATGTCCAAGTTTAGAGCTAAAGCTATACAAAATGAGGTCGGGACATCTCATAATACCAGAAAACAGAGAGCTCCTAAGGTCAAGTCAAAAGACTCCAGCCAGTAAGATGAGGCTCCTAATGGCCAAACACAGAACAATTTTAACATCAATAAGAATAATTATAATGGATTAAAGTTAACCAAATACATACATTCTCTGAATTTCTAATGGTATTCCCCTCCCCCAAGATTTTATTTATTTATTTTTAGAGCGAGGAGAAGGAAGGGAAAAGAGAGGGAAACAACAATGTGTGGTTGCCTCTTGCGCCCTCTACTAGGGACCTGGCCTGCAACCCAGGCATACGCCTTGGCTGGGAATCGAACCAGCAACCAAACCAATGAACCACACCAACCAGGGCTAATGGTATTTTTTTTTTTAAAGTTACCATTGGAGGATCCCTAGTTGAAAAAATTAATTCATTATTCTGAGAACTAGTAAGTAAAGGAAACAAGCATTTCTCTTATCTCCCTTTCCTATGTAAACTATAGGAAACCAGATAGCTGATGAGAAAAATTTTCAGTATTTCAACTAACAAATAGAAATAAATGAACAAACAAAGGAATTACAAAATCAGCATTTTGTAACTCCTAATAAAATGGATCTGAAAAATAATCATTAAGCATTTCTAAATTCACAAAGAAAGAGACAATTAGACATTTGCCTTCTAATAAAATAGTCTTGACCCAAACAAACAAAACAACCCAAATCTATTCAAGCCTCTAGATATATGGACCAATATGCAGGAAATAGAAGGGACAGAGAAGTGTGTCAAATAACCCTATGGACACTATGGGGATATAATCGGCAAGACAAAATGCTGCTCTCCAAAAAATACAACTGCAAGGCCCTGGCAGGGCAGTTCAGTTGATTAGAGTATCATCTCAATACACCAAGGCTGCAAGTTTGATGTCCGGTTGGGGCACATACAAGAAGCAACCAACAAGTGCAGGGATGGGTGGAACAACAAATTGGTGTTCCTCTCTGTCTCTCTAAAAATCAGTAAGTAAAAAAATGTTTAAATTCTTTGAAAAAATACAACTACAAGGGATACAAAGAACTTAATGATTTCAAGAGACTGCAGACATAGTATGGAGGAGGATTTTCGAAGGTGGCAGAGTATGTGGAAGCTGCACCCACCTCCTTTCATGACTACATCAAATTACAACCAAATTACAGATCAACCTGGATAACCATCTAAAGACTAGCTGAACAGAAGTCCTATAACTAAGAATATACAGAAGAAGTCAGTACATCCAGACTGATAGGAGGAGCAGAGACACTAGATGGGCTGGCCCTACAACCACGTGTGGCAGCTGAGGATCCAGAGTAGAGGTTCCCCGAGGATCAAAGGATCTAAACCCCATGGGGCACTCCTCAGCCCAGAGCAGCAGTGCTAAGAAGAGCCTACATAATATCTGGCTGGGAAAATCAGAGGGAATTCCATCCTCCTGAGCACAGTAGCTAAAGGCTGCTGGAAACCCAGTCATCCTCTTAAAATCTCACTCACAGGCACTCATCCTGGGCTCCAGAGGGGCAGCAACTCAGAGGGTGCTGATATCACACAGGGAGAGACTGGGTTGTGTGGCTTTGGGGAAAGGGGTGGAAGGAGAGCCACTGATGTCCCTTTGTTGAGTCCCTCTCCCAAACCACCCATGAATGCCATCTTTCCTGGGTCAAGTACTCTCATCACAAGGCATTAGCCTGGGGAGCTACACTAGCCCTATCCCAACAACTCCCAAGGCCCTGCCCTACCGAACTCCCACAGGGCTGTATGCTCTGCCAGCTGCAACCAGCATGGGTTCACATTACAGTCTTTTTACACCCTGAGGCCCTGCCCAAGGCAACTACTCTTACTGGAGAAATTCTCAAGGAATTCTGAATAGGCTCGGAGTGCGGTGGGTACCAAACACACACATGCAGAGACTGAGTTGTGTGGCTTTAGGGTAAGGGCTGTCTTCTTGTGTGCCTGACAGGCACCACCCTTCCTATACTAAGCCCTTCCTTCACAGGGTCAAATCTCAATCTGCTTTAGTCTAATGAACTCTACTGGCTGGCTTCAGACCAAAAGAGAGCACAACCTGGTAAGCTCCACATGCAACGCACTCAAAGGGAGGTCTGACAGGCACTAGACCCTGCTGGACAAATTCCACCTCCTGGGGCCAGCCCCCGCACAGAGCTCATACACTGTGGTGGGGCCAGCCTGAGACCCTACCCACTGATGTGCCAACAGCAATCAAGACCCACCCAGAACAGAAGGACTCACATAACTAACACAAGGTATGCTCCTGAAGCACCCAGCTCAGGTGATCAGAGACTGCACCACTGAGCCCCACAGGACACCAATACATAAGGCCACCTGACCAAGAGTAGGTGGCTAAAATGGGGAAACAAAGAAACATGCACTAAATAAAAGAACAGCAGAAATCTTCAGAAAAAAGAACTAAATGAAATGGAGGCAAGTAATCTATGGGGGGGGGATAGATATCAAAACACTGGTTATAAGGATGCTCAAGGAACTTAGGGGAAGAATAGATGAACTCAGTGAAAACTTCAACAAAGAGATATCAAGCATTAAAAAAGGACAATGAAATCATAAAAAATAACCAGTCAAAAATGAATAATACAATAACTGAAATGAAGAGTACACTAGAAGGAATCAACAACAGATTAAATGAAGCAGAGGACTGAACTGGCAATGTAGAAGACAGGTAACAGTTAACATCCAATCAGAGCAACAACATAAAAGAATTTTAAAAACTGAGGGTAAATTAAGGGAGAGCTGGGACAACATCATGCGTAACAATATCCACATCATAGGGACACCAAGAGAAAAAGAAAAAGAGCAAAGAATTGAAAACCTATTTGAAGAAATAATGACCGAAAACGTCACTAGCCATGCAAAGGAAACAGACGTAAAAGGCCAGGAAGTGCAGAGTACCAAACAAGATGAACCCAAAGAGACCCACACCAACATACATAATTAAAATGGAAAAGGTTAAAGACAAAGAGAGAAACTTAAAAACAGCAACAGAAAGACAGCTTTCTCATCAGAAACTTTTCAGGGCAGAAGGAACTGGCATAAAATATTCAAAGTGTGAAAAGCAAAGACCTACAATAAAGATTACTCTAAGCTGCAAGGCTATTATTTCAAATCGAAGGAGAAATTAAGTGCTTCCCAGAAAGAAAAAGCTAGACTTCATCTCCACAAAAGTAGTATTATGAGAAATGTTAAAGGAACTTCTTAAAAAACAGGAAAGAAAAGAGGAA